CTCAGAGATTGTACTGCCTCTGCTACCCAAGTTCTAGGTGTAAAGATGTGAGCCACCATGCCCAGCTGCACTGAATCCTTTTTTCTTTTAACTTTTTATTGATTTCCTGAGAATTTCATATCATATACCCCAATCCCACTCATCTCCCCATCCCTTCATATCCTTCTTTCACCCTTGCAACCTCTGCCCAAGCTCTCCTCAAAGAAAACAAAACAAGGTAGAATTAAAAAAAAAATTTTTTTGTCATAGAAGCTGTAGTGTGTCACAGTGTGTCACACAGTATACCCTTTCCCCCCACATTTCCACTTGCAAATGCTCACTGTGATGAGTCATTAACCTACCTCGAGGACTCTGGTCTCTGCCACACCATCTATACTGGATCCCTCACAGGGACTCCTCTTGGAGGTCCTGCCCTGTGTCATGGAGATCCTGCAGCTTGGATCTGCAGGATCAGCCCTTTCATGGCTCCAGCAGATCATAGATGAGGTAGAAGTTGGGGTGGGCCATCTCTAAACCCTGGATTGGGCGTGGGAGGCAGCGGAGCTGGCCGGCCCTCCAGCTCTCCTGCACCACCAGGCGTTCTCTCCAGCACTGCCCCAGTTAGCTCCCTCAGTGCCTCAGCTGGCAGGAGGCTGGATCAGCCTGTCTTCAGGTTGGCTTACCTGCGCCTTTGCCTTTGCTACCAGGGCCGGCCCTACTGTGCTGCCCAAGTGAGGTGCAGGGCCTATTCTCCCAAGTACTGCAGCCAGTGAGGGGTGGGGACAGCTCTCTGCTCCTGTGACCTCCAGGTCAGCTCACTTGCCTGTTTCAGGCAAGCGGGTGGAGCATGGCAGACAAGGAGTGAGGCCAGCTCTCCCAGGCTCATGCCCTCTGGGCTGACTCAGCAACACCCTGCCACCAGGGTCTGCTTTACTGTGCTGCCCAGGTGGGATGCACTGAATTTTTTTTATTTCACTATAATTTAAATTTTCCAGAGTTGTTGTTTTTGTTTTTTTCTCCCTGAATAGATCTTAAAAAAAATTAAAGTATTATGGGGGCTGGAGAGATGGCTCATTAGTTAAGACACTGGCTGTTCTTACAAAAGATATGGGTTCAGTTCTCAGCACATACATGGATTGCTCATACCTGTTTGTAATTCTAGTCCTAGGGAGTCTGATTTACTAGCCTTTGAAGGCACTGGTATCTGGATATACATGTAGGCAAAACGCCCATACACATAAAAAGAAAAAAAAAATAGCACTATGTTCTGTTTCTTGGGTATTTCTCAAGTCTGAGTTTTCGCCCTGCATTGTCTGTGAGTTTCTGTTTTCTGTTTAGTTGTTTAATCTTGTTCTTTGACCTGGAGGGTTTACTTCAAAGGTCTTATGTTCTTTGGCTGTACCTATTTGGCTGTAAAAAGCTGGTTGGAAATTTCTCTCCATTGCCAAGACTCAGCTGGGAATGAAAGGTTCTGCTAGGGTCCTTTAGAATTGAATACATCAAAATTTCCTTCTCTGCTGTACTCTAGTAGTCCCAGGGTCATTTGAGTTTTCCAGAAAGGCCCACACGAGTCTCCTGCCTGTTAACATAATGTTGAGGGCTCAGTTGCCTGGGCATTTTGTAGGTGCACTTCTAGCCCAGGACTGTTTGGCCTATTTAACATCTCAAATGGCTGCTGAGTAGGAGGAGAGTGCTGAATGTCTGGCTGCCAGGTTGGGATGGAGGCCAGGAGGCTTTACTTGCCCTGTAGATGGTGGACCAGTCCTGTATTCAGCCCCACTTCCTGCCTGCCCTCCAAGGTGCCCTGCTCCTCTGCTCCCTGAGCTGTCTCCCCTCTTTCCTCTGGTCTTGTTCTCAGCAATGTTGTGGGTCTTGGTATTTACATCTACTGTTTCCTTCCACTTTAATTTTCCAAAAGTATCTTGACAAGTCTTAACTGCTGTTATTTCCCTCTGTTCTTGACAGTTTAACTACTTAGCTGAAAGCTTACTTTATTTTATTCATTCATTCATTTATTTATTTTTGAGACATGGTTTCTCTGTGTAGCCTTGGCTGTCCTAGACTGCTTTGTAAAAACCAGGCTGGCCTTGAACTCAGAGAGATTCACCTGCCTCTGGCTCCTGAGTGCTGGGATTAAAGATGTGTGCCACCCATGCCTGGCTGAAAGCTTACTTTAATATTATTTTATTTCCCGTATTGGATATCAAACAAAGGGCTCACACATGCTAGGCAAACACTTTGCAACTGAACTACACTGCCAGCCCCTTTCCATCTTATTTTCAGACAGAGTTTTGCTAAGTTCCCAAGGGGACCTGTGGCTCCTGCCGCACCTCCTGAAAAGCTGGGGTTATGGGCCTGTGCCGCTGCTCCCAGCTTGAATGAGAATGTGATTTTTTAAACTTTATTTATGTTGTGTGTATGTATGCACAGCATATATGTGGAGATCAGAGGGACAGCTTGAGGGAGGTGGTCCTTTTTTTCCACCTTTTGATTCCAAGGATAGAACTCACGTCTGGGTTTAGTGGCGAGTAGCTTTACCCACAGAGCCATCCCGCCAGCCCAGAATATTTGCATCTTGATCAGCAGTGTAGGTTATTGTGTGTTTCTGTTTCTCACATTTGGGCTTGATCCTGCAATCTGTTTCCATGTTGGAAATTGGGCCCATGGCTTCTACTACTGAGCCTTCTCTAATCCCTTCTTTCCTCAGTCCCCCATTTTTTTTTTTTTCTTTTCTTGAGACAGCCTCACATATCCCTGAATGGCCTTGAACTCTGTATCACTATTTTGCCAAAAATGCCCTGCATGTCTGATCTTCTATCTCCACCTCCTGAGAGGAGGGATTATAGGTGGATGCCAACATGCCCGGTTTTATGTAGTGTGGGGATCAAACTTAGGGCTTTGTGTAGGCATGCCATCAGCTGAGCTACATCCCATCCTCTCTGGTTTGTAGAGAATCTCACTATGTAGCCCAGGCTGGCCCTAAACTCCTACTCCCCCTGCCTTTGCCTTTTGAGTGCTGAGACTGCGGGTTACGCCACCACATGTGGCTGCTCCTGCTGTTTCATTTAGTACTTTCTGTCTATCATGCTTCTCTCTGCTGCCTTGTCTTTTCTTCCCTTTGTTGCGTAGACTGAATTTTCTTCTCCTACTTGGGAAGTTATGCATGACTGAGTTCATGCATCATTCCTCTCATAGTATAGTAACTTATCGAGCCTTTCATTATCCTGTGTCTTTGCCATGAAAATGTGAAGACCTTTGGCGTGCTCTCCCCTCTTCTGCTGTCCCTGCCTTGGAGGGTCCAGGTTACGCGCCATGGCTGGGATCTGTGGAGGGACAGGGCAGCCGTGCTCATTTGCCGTTGCTCAGAACTGGCGAGCTTGTTCATGGTGTCTTAGAGACTCAATTCTCAGTGATGGTTTGGCTTAAAGCAGTGGTTCTCAACCTTCCTAACGCTGTGGTCCTTTAAGATAGTTCCTCATGTCTTGGTGACCCCAACCATAACATTACTTTGTTGCTACTTCATAACTATAGTTTTGCTACTATTAAGAAGTGTATTGTAAATATCTGATATACACACAGGCTGAGGTGACCCCTGTGAAAGGGTCATTACACCCCAAAGGAGTCCTGACCCACAGGCTGAGAACCACCAGTGTAAAGATATCTGAAAACATCCCCTTTTGAGGGGAATAGGGATGAGAAGTACAGGAAGTGAGACAGGAGGGACAGTCAGCAATTCTGGGAACCTTAGACCCGCAGCTACTCCCCAGTCCTCTCTGATGTCTGCTTTCTCTCTGGAGCCATGCAGAGAGCATGGTGCCCCTGCTCTGCGCATCAGGGAGAGACGCCCAAGGGCAGGAGTGGTGGCTAGATGCACTTGACCTGACTACACCACCTTCTGTTTTTGTTTTTATTTTTTGAGAAAGGGCTTCTCTGTGTAGCCCTGGCTGTCCTGGACTCATTTTGTAGACCAGGCTGGGCCAACCTGCTGAGATCAGCCTGCCTCTGCCTCCCTGAGCGCTGGGCTCACAGGTGTGCGCCACTGTGCCTGGCTTGTCACCATGTTCTTATCAAGCAAGAATGCAGATTCAGCAGTATTGAGCTTTTAGTGTTTCTCCAGCAGCCAGGAAACTGAATTTCCTGTGTGAGCTCTTCCAGTGTATACATTCACTAAAACTGCTTACAACTGTCCAGGCTGTATGGCTGGCTGTGGTCAGACACTACAGCCTTTGCCCACAGCCCTGGTTGTCAACAGATGCTTTCTGTCACCACTGACAGGCCTCCCTCCTGGACAAATGTCCTTTCTGACTCAGTGGTTTCTCCTAAGGTGTGGCTTCCTACACCCCTCCTTTCCCAGTGACTTCCTCCTGGGCTGTTTCTCTAGGCCCCGTTTTGTCACTCAGGTTAAACACCCTCCTTGTTTGCATCAGTGCTTCCTCAATAATTGAGGGTGAGGACACTCATTCACACAGAGCTCATCTTTCCAAGGCCTGTCTGCAGTGTGAGGCCCCCGCCCACACCCAGGCCTCGATTCTGGAAGTAGGTGAGGGGACTCTACTCTCACTGGAGCATGGAGACCGACACAGTCTGCATGCGCCAGCTGTCGGTGCCTTGGCCTGTATAATGAGCAGGCTGTTGGCCTAGAACTGGGTCCTGTGAGTCTCCTAGGCTGGCCCTTCTTGCCTATGGTAGGCTTGAGTTCCCTGCCACTGTCTGCCGTCCACTGCCTCAACTGCCGCAGTGACACGAGGCTGCTACTTTATATACTGGAGGCAGTTAGTGAGTCAGTTCTTAGCAGCCCCTAGTTAGGGAAGTGAAATTTGTGCACCTGGCAGGGCCTGACCTTTGAGTGACAGCGGAAGTAGCTGTGTAAACATGAGGTTCATTGCTAAGGGGAAGTCCTGTCACTACCAGGCTGTGAGGAGAGTATCCGCCTTCACCGGACCTCATGTGGCCGCTACACTTGTGGGTCTAGTAACTTTTTTTCCCTCTTTTCTCCCTTCCCTGCACTTTCTTGGTGACAGCTGGAAGTCACAGTCGTAACAACGGAGAGAGCCAAACACTTCTACAACCCTCAGGATGTTCCTGTCACCCTCTACAGTGACGCTGATGAGTGGGAGGTCAGTGCTGGGCCCATTGCTTTTCTTGCAGCAGGACAGAGCTGTCTTCCTCTGGTCCTATAGCTGTCAGCCTATGGTCCTGGCTGCTGGAGCACACAGCCTGGGCTCAAGTTGGTGGTCAGGACCATCTGGGTAGAGGCAATGAGGAAAACATCTGTCTAGCTTCTGGCCCGTGGGAGGCCTATAGTCCCGCCTTCCTTAGGCAGAACTCAGCTTTGGCTCAGTGCCCTGGGGTTGAGTGTCCTTGTACTTATCTGGGCTGATGAAACCACAGAGGAGCTCTGTTCCCACCACCCTTATCCACGTGGCTCTCAGCGTCAAGGCTGTCCAGAGCGCCTCACTTCCCACGGCTGCTGGCCGGGTCTCTGCCCTCCTGCAGGGGGAGGGGGGTTACCAGCCGACTTGCCAGGCACGGAGTGTGGGCCACATAGAGCTGCCCCGCCAGGCGTTTTAAAACATTCTCAGCCTTGAACATTTCTGGCTGCCCTCCCCCTTCATTTCTCACTGCCCCAGAGCCCTTCTACTGGCTTAGACAACCCAAGCCTCCGCCTCAAGCAGACAGGCCAGGAGTTCCCTGCCAGATGTCAGTTCTCTTGAAAACCAAACCATAAAGGGAATAAGCTCAGGGAGACAAGGAGCGTTTGTTTCCTCGGGCCTGGCTTCTGTCAAGCTGCTGGCTCCATGGCCAATGCTTGCCAGCTTTGCTGTGAGCGAGGACAGTGGGAGACTTTGAGGGAGAGCTAGGTGGTTTCCTTGGATTTCTCAACTTATTGTACCTGGCCTATTTGGCTGCCGTCCCCTCCCTACACACAGACTGAGAGTAACTGGGTTGATGACCCCCATTTCTTCCCTTTGACAGATGTGGAAGCGGCGCTCTGACCCAGTTCTCCACATTGACCTGCGGAGGTGGGCTGACCTCATGCTAGTGGCTCCCCTTGATGCCAACACTCTGGGGAAGGTGGCCAGTGGCATCTGTGACAACTTACTTGTGAGTGACTCCTGTGTCTGTCCTCTCCAACTTTGCTCCCGGTTTGCTGAGCTGAAGGTTTCATTGTCCAAGGAAATCTCTTACTCTGGAGTGCAGGTTGTTGAGCCCCCTGTTACTGTGGGGTGCAGTTTGTCTAGTAGCCCCTCTGCCCCGTCTCTATAGCCAGGAGGGTGAAGATCTGGGTCTGCTGAATCAGTTGGCCTTACTGGCGCTGTCTGGGAGTGACCACTTCTCTCGCCCTCAGTGGCCAGCCAGGTGCTCCACCTCAGGCCCTGCTTCCGTCTTCCTTCTCCACAGGCTGCCCTCCACATGCCTCCATAGATTTCCTTGCCTTTACTACTTCCTCATCAGTTCTGCCTTCCCACCAGAATCTAGGCATGCATAGGACTACTCTGATAGGGTGTCTTCTTCCCCGTGCATCTCATAGACTTATTTCTTCATAGTTAATTTGGCTCCAAAGCTAAGACCCAGTTTTCCCATCTATCAGGGAAAGCTTGGAGACAAAGGGGAAAAACCGAGTGAGAAGTGATTGCTTCTGAGACCTCTTGGGAGCTGCCCCCTTAAGGAACATCTGCCTTTGTTTATGTGAACATCCTGGAAAGGTCTTATGGTCACCCCTCCCTCAGCTTCTTGACCTTTCGCCTTCCATGTTCTGGAGGCTTATACTGAGGACACAGGGAGTGCTTGATTTGGAGAGAGAGATTTGTGATCTCCCATGCAGGCAGGAGGAAAGCATTCCATGGTGAGTACTGTAGTCTTAAATGGCCCCATCAGTCTTTGGAGCCTGCTTGGTGCTAGGCGTTAAGTAGGCATTTAATAATATTGCTTGTATGTGGTAGGAAGTAATTTTCTTTCATAAATATTTTTTGTTTAAATTTACGTGTGTGTGTGTGTGTGTGTGTGTGTGTGTGAGAGAGAGAGAGAGAGAGAGAGAGAGAGAGAGAGAGAATGCAGGCTTGTCTCAGCTTTGGCATTCCTCTTACCTGTGTGTTCGGATGCTGCCATTACAGGTGTATGTCACTATACTCAACTCATTTTCAGAGTTGAAATGGTAAAGAACTGGATACTGAATATGCATCAGGAGTTTTGGGATATCACATATGAAATCAATGCCCTCTTATCTGAGCCTGGTGACATGAGCCTATAATCCTGGCAACTTGAAAGGCTGAGGCAGGAGGATCAAAAGTTCTCTAAAGAAAACATAAAAAGAAGGCTGGAGATAGAGCTCAGTGGCTAGTGCTTGTGTAGTGAGTGGGAAACACTGGGCTCACTCAACCCCCCGGACTACAGTATATAAAAGAAAAGTGGATGTTAATATCTTCTTTGCTTGTTAGGAGGTCTTAGCTTTTCTTCTGGGAAGCTGCTAATGACCTAAGCACCATTAGGCTAAGAGCAGAGGGTGGGAGGAGCACCGCCCTGATGCTGTGGCCAGGAGCAGACTGGGTAGGACAGAGAAGCAGAGCTGGGTGTTGCATGGTCCTGACTGCCCAGTAGGACTGGGACAGCACAGCAGGGCACCGAATCAGGGAAGGGAGGTACTCAGCCGTGTCCCCAAAATCCCTGTGTTCCTCCTACCTTCTGAACACCGAGGTCTCCCCTCCTTGTTGTTGATATTTTTATTATATGCACAGCACCCCATTCTTAATAGAGTCTTTAGCTGAGCTGGAAAGATGTCTCAGAGGTTAAGAGCACTGGCTGCTCTTCCAGAGGACCTAGGTTTGATTCCCAGCACCCACGTGGCAGTTCACCTGTCTGTAACTCCAGTCTCAGGGGATCTAACAGCTTCTTTTAGCTGCGCCTGGGCACCAGGCACACATGTGATGATGCACAGACATCCATGCAGTCTGAATACCCACACATATAAAACAAATATAATCAATCTCATGTGGACCAGCAGGCCTTGAAATCCTGATCTTTTTGCTTTTCCCTTCTCCTTCCTGAGTGATGAGATCACAGGCATGGCCTGAGCACCTAGGTTTTTTTCTTCCAGGCTGCTACACTCCTATCTTTGAGATTCTCTTCAGAATTGGCTGGACAGTGGAACATGTTCCCCAAACTAACCGTTTGCCTCAAATAGTCTCACCTGAAGACAGATGTCCGAGACAATTGCCAGTGTTACATTTTGAGCTGTAAGCTGCCTTGGGTTGGGGGGGCACCCCTCCTCAGTCAGTGTCTTCTTAGAGTCCTGAAAGAAAGCTCAGCCCACTCTCTCTTCCCTGTCTCCAGTGTTGGAAGGAGCTGAGGAGCATTGTGCTAGATGTTGCCCTGCACTCTTTCCTTCCAGGCCAAGGGCCTGGGATGGCTGTCTCCATCTGCTCTGGTCTCTCATCAGATCAGAAAGAGGGGGTGACTCCCCAAGGTTGCCAGTCTGGCTCAGTGCTAGTCTCTGGACAGCATCTGCCCTGTTTGAGAGGATTCCCAGGGGCAAGGTTGAGGCGCTGAGCATGGTGCCAGCCATTTTGCTGTGGGAGCCAGTGTCTTCTCCCCTTCCTACTGCTAGTTGCTTCAGAGGAGCTGCGGTTTATCCAGGAAGCACTGAGCTTTGAGTCAGATGGTGGGGAAGCAGCCCTGCTGAGGACAGACGGTTGGCTTTTGCTGTGGTCAGTGTTCTCTGCTTTGAGGGTGCTTAGAGACAAGCCCAGCCTCTTCCTGATGCCACCCATTTTCAAGGGTCCTTTCTAGGTTTACTTACAACTCCTGCAAAAGCAGTAGGTGGTACAGAGCCAAGAAATGTGACTGAAATTGTCCAGTCAACGCCAGGTTTTTGTTTTGTAAGGAGTTGGTGTGAAACCAACACTGGTGTCTGGGATGATGCAAACAATCAGATTTTGAAGCTGCTTGCTGTCCCAGGAGAGGGTAAGGGCCCTGAGGGACAGGCGCCGGCTCTGGCCTGTTTGTCACATTGTTCTCTACACTCTTCCTCCTTTCCCAAGTGGACTGTATTTCTGAGGAGGAGTGTCACAGTTGCTGTCTGCCCAGGAGCTTTCAGGAGCAGGTACCTGGTATTGTCAAAGCACAGAAAGCCTGTTTCTTTGGTGGTAGTGCCTGGCCTCCCCAGCCTGCACCTGGGTGAATGTAGGAGCCATTGTTGTGGAGCTTGTGCTCAGTGCCTTGCTCTCAGCTAAGAGCCTCTAAGCCTTTTCATCTTTTGCTGGAATCTGGGGGTCCCACCTCTAATGCCGTCACTTAGGAAAGCTAGGGACTGAGGGTTAAAGCCAGCTGTTCCATCGCCAGTTCAGAGACCGGCCTGGGTTATGGGAGACTCTGCCCCCCAAAACTGCTGCCACACCAACACCACCACCATCTGAAGCATTCATGTTCTTTTTTTTTTTTTTTTTTTTTTTTCATTTTAAATTTAATTTTATTTTTGGAAACAACATCTGTGTTGCCCTTGCTGGCCTGGAACTTGCTATGTGTAGAGCAGGCTATGCAGAGAAACCAGCATGCCTCTGCCTTCTAAGGATTAAAGGAGTATGCTTCCAGGCTCAACTTTTTCTTAAAAAGAAAAAAGTTAGGGTCCTAATATTTATTCCAGACTATCCCTGAACTTGAGATTCTCTTATCTTAGCCTCTAGAGGGCTGAGATTACAGACGTCTGTCACTATATCTAGCATCAACCATGCTTTGATTTCAAGCTTGTATGATTTCAGAGTTTACAACCTTAAGACTCCGAGCTAGAAAATAGGAAGGAAGGAAGGAAGGAAGGAAGGAAGGAAGGAAGGAAGGAAGGAAGGAAGGAAGGAAGAAAGGAAGGAAGGAAGGAAGGGAGACTCTGAACTGGTAAGCCATTTCATAGCTGCTCTGCTGTATGACCTGGTGGTATGGTCTGGCTTTGGGAGGTAGGGAGGCTGCCCAGTCCAATGAATGGTTGTACAGGACCATATTTGTTTCTGTGTGATCTTGGACAGCTGTTTTTCTCTCAGGGAGCTGCAGTTTGCCCATCTGTGAGCAAGGGACAGTATCGTCCTTACAGGCTTACAGTAAGGATTCTTGAGATAAGGGATGAGAAAAGGTATCGTGCTGGATGGTTTTGTTCTGAGGGTTTAGTTGACCTAGAAGTAGAGCTGTTGCTGAGTAGAACATGAACAGTCTGTTTCCTAGCTTTCCAGTGAGGAGAGCTAGGAAGCTGGCTTCCTCCCTCCAACCCCCACCTGGGATTACTGCCCTGCAGTTGTAAGACTTAGGCTGGTGGGCATGGAGATTGCAGTAGGATGGAGGTCTGTTGGAGGTATCTGGGTCATTGTGGGTGCTAATTGGTATCTCCTGTGTCTAGGACCAAGCTAGAGCCTGAGTGGAGATGATGGAGGAGGAAGAGACAACTTCCCCTTGCCCCAAGAATGCAATAACACTTCTCTGTAGATGGGTGACATCCAGTCATCCCTAGCCAACAGCTGCTCTGATGATGAGGATAGTAGGGAGGATTTGGGAGGACTGAGAAGGGTAGGTAGGGCATCAGCACCTCTCCCCCGCTTCTTCACAGACCTGTGTCATCCGGGCCTGGGACCTCAGCAAGCCCCTACTCTTCTGCCCTGCCATGAACACCGCCATGTGGGAGCACCCTCTCACTGCACGGCAGGTGGGCCAGCTCAAGTCCTTTGGCTACGTGGAGATTCCCTGTGTGAGCAAGAAGCTGGTGTGTGGAGACCAAGGTGGGCTTCCTGGCATACTCAACCCAGGGCTGTAGAAGGGGCTCTGCTTTGGGGTCATCTCTGGGTTCTGTGGTCCAGTGGTTCTCTGGCGCATTGCAACCTTGGACAGACTATTTTCTGAGCTCAGCTCTCTCATCTGGAAATGGGTAGAGCGTTAATTCTTGTTTCTCAGGATTGTTAGGCCAAAGTGAGACAATATGTATGAAGTGGCAGGTAGAGCCCCTGGCAATAGAACAAATGCTGTTAATAGAATGACTCCTGGGGCCTGTCCTGGGCCATCTTGGAAGGGATATGATGGATCTAGGTCAGGCAGAGCTGGACTTGGGCTCCCCAGGCTTAGGACGTGGGTGGAATGCACAGGGGATGTGAGTGGTAGCCACAGGCAAGGTTAGCTCACATGTTGTGGCTCTCAGCGACAGACGAACTTTGTTTCCAGGTCTCGGCGCCATGGCTGAGGTGGAAAGCATTGTGGATAAAGTAAAAGAAGTGCTCTTCCAGCATGGTGGTGTCCGGCAGGGTTGAGCTGGGATTTCTGTCGTGCTGTCCCTGTACCCAGTGAGTTCAGCCCAAGCTGCTGAAGAGGAACATCAGCACACCATGATGAGCTTGTGTTTGCTGAGAAGAGGCTGGACGGAGTCTTCTCAGAGTTTCTGGGGTCTAACCCTGTTCAAGCTAAACAGGACCACAGACCCATGTCATGCCTTCTTTCAGTGAGCAAATGTCTGCTTCCCAGAGGCCCTCCCATTTTTTCTTGGGATAGTCCCAGTAAACTAGGTAAACTTGCTGCTCCTTGAAGTTTAATTGAATGATTGAGGGACCTCCTGCCTGGGAATTGCTTTTAGAAATATCATGGCTGAGTCTGGCCACAGTGGCTCATAGCTGTGGTACTAGCACTTGGAGTGCTGGGACAGGATTGCCATAACTTTGAAGTTGGCTTGAGGTATATGGCAAGCCGATCTGTGAGTATGACAGCCTATTTTAAAACAAAAGCAACAAGAAGGAACACCATAGCTCAAGACCCTTCGTACAGCAGCTCCTGGTCAGGCCCTGGAAGCTCCCCTTCTTTGGTCCTACACAGAGTCAAGAAGTCTGTGAGGTGGCAAGACTCTGGGACGGGAGTAGTTCTGGGAAATAAAGAAAAGTGATCTTTTAAGAGAGTCTGTCCTTCTTTACATCCTGTCTGTGCCCTCAGAGGTTGGGGGCCATGGCCAAGTGAGGCAGAGAGGGCTCTGCGCTAACTGACTAGCACTCCCACACTCTTAGGCAACATGGGTGATTAAGCACAGAGCTGTCATAGCAAACAGCTCAGATTCGAGTCTCAGCTCTACCCCGTTCTGGCTACGGACCTTGACTGACCCTCGCTTTCCCATCTGTGTGATCATTATTCCATAATGGAACTATCGAGAGGCATGAGGTATATGTGAAAAGTACATTTGTCTCTTACACCCACAGGGGCTACATTGCTGGGTTCCCAGCAAACCCCTGAAGCCACAGTATAGAACTCTATATGTATGATGTCTTCCTATAGGTATATAACCTATGACAAACTTTGACTTATAAATTAGGCTCAGTAAGAGATTAGCAAAATAACAAAATAGAACAGTGATTCACTTTTTTTGTACAATAAACTATTTTCCATGCTGAAAGAAATAGAACAAAAAATTAAAAATGTAACAGGGGCTGGCAAGATGGCTCAGTGTGTGAAGGTGTCATCTGAGGGAAGCGCCGGGCGGAAGTGAGAGCCGACTTGTGAAAGTTGCCCTCCGACCCCTGCCCTCAGCTGTGGCATGTACCATTTGTACATGCACGCACAATAAACACAATAAACGTTTCAAATGCTATTGCAAAACCTGTGTGAACATGGTCTCTTAGCAGCTTCAACATACAAGTGAAAAACTGTATGAAAGTCAAGAACTTAGGTTTTATTGTTGTTGGTTGGTTTATTGAGGCAGGGTTTCTCCTTGTAGCCCTGGATGTCCTGGAACTTGCTCTGTAGTCCAGGCTGGCCTGGAAATCAGAGCTCCACTATGCCTCCATTTCCTGAGTGCTGGAATTAATGTTGTGCCCCATTGTACTTGGCCCAGAACTGACCTTTTCGTGTAAAGGAAGGCCCCTGATGCGCCTCTGGCCTCCCGGAGTTGTCTGCATCAGGAGTCTTGTACTTTGGGGCCGTTATCATGATAAGGGCTACTTGTTGACCTGGTTACACAGCTGTAGTCACTGGCTGTCAGTCATAAGCAACAGGGACACGCTGGACTAAATGGTGATTCCTGTCTGGGTTGGATGGAGCAGGAAGAATGGTATTTCAAGCTTCTCAGCAGTGTGTGACTGTAAACTATGAACTGTTTTAACAAACATTCATATTTTGGACTAGGGTTGAGCAGGTAACAAAGGCGCATTGCAGGTAGGCGGAAACTCCTCTCACCACTCTGAGTACCAGGGATGTGATTGATGTCAGATGACTGAGTGTTCAGTCTGTGAGTGCGCACTTCTCAGACGTGCTTATGTGTGTCAGGAGCGGCCTAACATTAACCGACCAGTCCACCTCATGTTGAAGGAAGTGAGCCCAGACCCCAAGCTGACACGGCCCTTTAGGAGAGTGACGGGTCAGCCGTTGGCAGAGCTGCAGCCTTTCCTGCATCCCAGGACTCCGCTTGCCTCCTGCCTTCCGTGTTGGCTCTCCGACTCCCACCCTTTCAGCTTGTCGTACTTGCGTGGAGATGTCTGTCCTGTTCATGCTACACATGGCCTGGAGGACTGGTCTTTAGAGAGCCTTTGGCCTAGAAACCTCATGCTGTCTCACTTTTGACCTAGTTACTCTGATGTGGCTTCAGCGAGGCCCTGTTTGTGTATTTGCTGCTGACGTGGGGGCTGTTTCCTGCTCTGGCTCCTAGACTAAGCACAGTCCCGTGGCTGTCCTGAAAGCATTGAAGGTACAGTTGGTGATGGCTAGAACCATGGTCTTCCCAGCCTCCAGGAGCCCTTCTAACTTGACTTAATCAAGGGCCTCTTTGGGATAAAATTGCATTAAGGCACCAAAGAAAAATGTAACCTAAAAGTAGGATCAAGAACAAACTTCAGGGGCCTGCCGCTATACCTGATAACCTGAGCTCGATGCCTGGGACCCACAGGGTGGAAGGAGAGAGCCAATCCTGGAAGGGGTCCTCTGACTTCTACACGGGCGTGCAAGGCGAATAAGGAAACACTAAAAGAAAAAACGAAGAACCAACCTCAGGTAGGATGTAGCAGCAGAAGAGTGCTGGCTGCCTGGGATGTGCCAGGCCCTCCATAGTAAACGAAACCAGAGACCTTTCCGCATCGAGTTTGAGGCCTGTCTAGGCTAAAAAGTGAGTTTCGGGCCAGCCTGAGCTACATAGTGAGACTTGTTTTCACCTTTCCCCTCCTCCCCCAAAAAAGATCCTGTGCATGTTTCAGAGTCAGTGTGCCTCAAAAACAAAAGTCTTAGGATTTGAAGTGGTGGTTCAGCCAATAAAGGCACTTGTGGCCAAGCCTGGTCCCTGGCCCACGCAGGGACCAGGGAATTGACTTTCACAAGCTATCTTCTGACCTTCATACACACACAATGGCTTTTTTAAAAACAACAACAAAACAACCAACCAGATAGAAACAACCACTACAAATTGTCCTTAAACTACTTACCCATCCTTTCATGATAAGGATATCAATCAAATTACATTCAAATGAAAGGTTTTTCTCTTAGATTATCAATGTGTGGGGAACCAGAAACCTCATACCTTGCTAGGAGATGTAGCAATGTTTCTAAGAAACATCTAGAAATATACCAGAATTACGGATGGCCTCTGCTTCAGTTCCTGCCTCCGGGTTGCAGCCTGGAGTTCCTGCTCTGACTCCCTTCATGACAGACTACAACTCTAAGCTGAAAGAAGCCCTCTCCTCTCCATGTTGCTTTTGTCACGGTGCCTATCCAGCAGTAGAAGGCAAACCAGGACTGCACTGAAAGTCTGAAAACCGATCAATGGGAAACAACTAGACACTGATTAAACAAACTGGAGTCTCTGTACTGGAGCACCACACCGACACAAACCCCAGTATTAGGGACACTCCTGATTTGGGAAGATTTCTGAGGCAAAGTACCAGGGAGAAGTGTGTATGGCATGATAGCTTGTGTATAAAAAAGGGGAGGAGGGCATAGATCGAGTCAGATTGACTCGTATACAAAACAAATATCTACTGGAAATGAATAAGAATCCCTTTGGCAGGGGCCCGAGAGACGGGTAAGCAGTGGTGGGAGGCAGGCTTTTTGTTTTCAGATCTTAAGCCAGATGAACATATTATCTGACATGAAATTAGTAAATTATTTTAAAAGGGTTCTGCTACATTTGTCACCTCTAGGACTGCCAGGGTTGCTGAGTCTGACCTGGCTGTGTTGAGTCAGGGTTCACTAAAGGAGCAGAACTGATGGGACATGTACAGGCGTGCGTGCAAGTGTGTGTGTGTGTGTGTGTGTGTGTACATATTTATGACTTGCGTGGCTTTCAGTGTATGTTCTATCTAGTCCAACAATGGCTGTCTCCTGTTGGAAAGGCCAAGAATCTGAGAGTTGTTCAGTCTTTGAGACTGGATGTCCCAGCAATCCCGGTCTGGTGGAGTCTCAGAGGATTCCTAGAGAGATGCTAGCCTTCGCTCTACATGAGAATTCTGAAGGAGATTCTAATACCAAGGACAGAATGCTTCAGCAACAGGACAGATGCCCCACCAAGAGTGAGGGCATGAAGACAAAAATAATCAAAAGCATCCGTCTATGTCCTTTTGTGGGGGATGATACCAGAAGATGTGGTCCAGATTTAGGGTGGTCTTTCCATATCAAATGATCCAATCAAGAAAATTCCTCAAGGTATGTCCAGATGCTCTTTTAGCCCATTCCAGATAGGGGTCAAGTTGACAACCAAAGTTAGCTCTCAGAGACTGGCAAATGTCCCTGTCCTCATTCATGTGAATTCCTCCTGCACCTACATGTTCTGTCCAAGACAGTGGACCATTCTTGGGCCAAAGAGTATAGTGGGACTTTCTCAAACCTGCCATTGGTATAAATAATGTCACAGAAACACACACCTCCATTCTTAACACTAGGAGGTAGAGGCAGGAGGATCAGTGTTCAAGGCCAACCTGGGTTACAGGACTCCAGAATAAATAGGGTCAATCAGGTAGCTCACGAAGTAAAAACATGTACCACACAAGACCAGCAACTTGAGTTTGATGACTAGAACCTATGTGAAAGTGGAAAGAACTGACTGTTAAACCTGAGAATTGGGCTGGGCATGGTGGCACACACCTGTAACCCCAGCACTCAGGGAGGCAAAGGCAGGAAGGTCTTGTAGTCTGAGAACAGACACACAAACCACTCAGACGCTAATCTCAGTCAGCTATTTGTTAAGTGCCTGTTCCAGGCTGATCATGATTAGGGCCACAGAAAGGACTCGGGAGCCAAGCTGTGACACTGGTCTGCTTTTAGGATAGCCTCTTGATAGGAAAACCTAGGATGGAAGGCAAAGAGAGGGCGATGTGACATTCTGGCTGACTATACAAAGCAGCATTACATTTTTGGCTAACTAGGTAAAGTATTATCGCTAACCTTTAAGCTGATTGGTCCTAAGTGAGGTAGTTAGGGTCTTCGAGAGTACAACCAGAGTGTAGCCGAGTGCAGAGATAACAGTGCAGCCCGACTGTAGCCAAGCGGGGAGAGAACAAAGCATGAATTAAGACAACTGAGTCATAGTAAAATAGAAGGTTAACTTGACCCTCTGGCAGGGTCTGTTAGTGTCAGCTATGAATAACCACTTCTAGAAAGTAAGTTAAAATTTTTGAACTTAATTTCACCTTTTAAACAAAAATGAATACTAAATACAAAATGATTTCAGCTATGTTACAAAGAGCAGGGCTCAACCATCTGTGAGTTCAAGGCCAGCCTGGTCTACAAAGTGAGTCCAGGACAGCCAAGGCTATACATTGAAACCCCGTCTTGAAAACAAAATAAAACAAAACCCCCAAACCTGAGAGTTGGAAGGAGAAAAGGCCAACTCCACAACTGTCCAGTTAAAAGCAAGCCATATTTTGGGGTGCACCCAGGACTGGCCAGCTGGCGTCTCACCTTAACTCAAGATTTGAGAGAGC